AAATATAATAGAAGCGTTTGATAGCATAAATGTTATCAAAGAAATACTCATTTATTAGACATATTTGTTTTTGTTTAAATTTGGTTAAATCTTCCGGTATATATTTTTCGACTTGGACCGATTTTTCATAATGCAATATCCAAGAACAATCAGGTTTTGTAATCAACTCAAAACCAAAGACACGGTCTTCAGTGTGTTCAGTAATATTTTGAAGAGCAGGGTACCGATAAGCACAGAAGCCTTCAGGCATAGAAGTAATATAACCAAAGGCTGATTCAAATGGCATATCGATAATATATGACAATTTATGTTTGAAAATTTGTGCAGCCACAATTGGGTTTAATAATTTAATCCAGCCTATATTGTTCATGATATTTATTTGACCGCAAACACCTGCGACTTGAGGCCTTGCTGAAAATGATTTCCATAAGTCATAAATAGATTTGTCACCTTTTAAAAAATATCAATGTATGTTAATACAGTATCTAAAATAATTTAATGACAATCTGAAAATTTTGGAAGCTAAATGAGGTAAAACAATTATTAATTTTTCTATACTTCTAATGTAAATTTAAAATTTCGGGCGTATTAGAATTCTATAGTTATTTGCTTCCAAATATTTCAAATAATGTAACTATACACAATTGTTTTAAAATGTATAACCAATTTGTTTACTAACCTAGCTTAATACCAGCCTCAATAAGAATACAAATTTTAGGATTGAGGATCGGACAAAAAGCATTGAAGAACCATTGATAAGTATCTGCTTTGTCTTTTCTTTTTTCTTTAAGACAGAAAAGTATTTGTGTTGGAACAACTCCATAATCCTTTGACTCCATGTCTACAGTGTCTTCCAAACTTTGAATTGGAATTTGAACAGTATACTCATATATATGTGCCTCAACCAATTTGTTATCCACTAGAGCCTTTGCAACACCATCTTGGTAAGCACCAAGAACGGTCAAATAAGCTAAAATACGGTTATTAATATTGTCACGACCATTGGAAATTATGCATATGACAACCTTCTTCCACCCATCTTTGCCCTTATCAAAATAAAGATTATCGATAAAAAATAAAAAAGGTATTTTTTTCAAAAATAAAACATTTGTAAAATTGTAATAATGGGAATATTTACCCAGGTCTCAGGGTTTTCGGGAGAACAAAAGTAAGCAACATTTTTCATGATTCCATGAAGAGTGCGGGATAAATGAGTTTCATCCTCCTATCGGCATAAATTTAAAATTAAAATTTGAAGACTACACACTGATTATTAAATGTCTGATTTACTTACATCATCATTTATAGTAATTAAAATAAATAGGTCTGTTTGCCTTAAAGGCTCATATTCTATCTGACGAAGCATAAAATTTTCAGTTTTAAAACTACCTGAATCACTTGTGCAAGCAGTATATCTTAGATGTGTAAATTCTTTAGTATTACTATGGGGAATATTTGTTAGCAGACCCTGCGGTATGGGACAATCTATGACTAAATGTCCATTTTTTGATTCAACACGCTTTGTAATTCTGTGCGATTCTTCAGGTAGTATACAAATAGATACGGAACTTTGAGACGGTGATCTCCTAAAGAAGCATTATTTAATGATAGGTCCTCATGAAACTTAACATGAGCTTATATACTTACGATCTGATAGCATAGATATTTGAGATTAGAAACAATGATCATAGATTTTAAAAAAACTGATAAGATAAAGAAAGATATACAGTATTTACACAATATTAATTTCTTCTTTACTCTCACATGCGTAACAATAATTATATTTATTAATAACAGAGTCTTCTTCGGGATACGAAGAAAAGGTTAATCTTGATGGCACATCTTGTGCAAGGTGATTTGTAATGAATTCAAAATCTGTTTCTGCTGATAATCTTTCAAGTTCCAGCAAAATTTCATTCAACAAAGGTCGCTTATTTGGATCAGAGGACCAACACTTCTTGTATAAGTGAATATAATCAGCAGATGTATTATAAAGAGTTTTTTCTCTTCTATTTTGTGAAATTAGAAGGATTACTTCTGAATCAGAAAAACCATGAAATGGACGAATACCACTTGCTAATTCCCAGAGTAAAACGCCCACGCTATAAATGTCTGATTTTTTATTAGGCTTCCTACGTTTTAAATAATACTGTGGTTCAATATATGCTGGAAGGCCACCCACATTTGCGCTTGAAGTTGTAGTATCATTTAATTGTTTGGAAATTCCAAAATCAGTTATCATTGCTTTACCATTATCAATTAAAACATTCTTTGCATGCTAAAGAAATTTTCATGCAGAGATATATTAATGCAAAATTTAGGTAATAGTTAAAAACTTTTAAAAGCTTACTAAGTCTCTATGGATAATATCTTTATCATGTAAATATTTTAATCCAGATGTAATATCTTTTGCAATTCGGATAAGCTCAGCCCACGGAATTTTATAAAGACTTTCTATCTGCTTATTCTCTAAATATTCACGCAAGTTGCCATCAGTAGCAAGTTGTAACACTAGCATAAAATTTCCTGTTGATGCTTTTAAAATTTATAAATTGTTGCTAGAAAGTTAGGGCTTATTATTCAGATATATGATCGTTTAATTGAATATTTATTATACCTTTTGAAATTCCATAGAATTTGACAATATTACGATGATCAG